TGTGTAGACTTGAGCCTGTGGGGACGACTTCTGTTACAGCTCTGAAGCACTTGATCTGTGCTCCATGAACTTTTTGGCTTTGTCTCTTTCAGAATTAGCCATTTCATATATTGGTCAAAGATCATCTTTGAGGGTGGGTGTATGGTCCAGCTGATCTTGGCTGATCTATTTGTCTGGATCTAAGCCGTTGAGACCTTTCAGCTCAAACCTTGATCATGTTTCACCCAGAAAACCCTTCATAGTGGCCAAAGAAACAGCCCTTGATTTGGACATAGAGACAGACCTGATGCATCAAACAACTACAATGGGGCCTGGTTTAGAGACCCTTTTCCACACTGAAAGGTCTCTTTCATCTGCTATCTCACAGGAGAACCTTCATCCTTTTGAAGCTTCACATTTAGCTCTCTAAAGTGTGGGAGGGAAGATACGGTGCTATTTCCTTGTTGGTCTGTTTCTGTCCATGTTCGTTGGAAACGATTGAAAGAGCTACCCATCCTTTGGTGGAATTTTCTTTTAATTCTAGCTGGGTGTCCTAGCTAATAAACCCTCCTCACTGTCACATTTTCACACGGATCTGAGTTTTGATTTTTGTTAGGTCCATGTTGCCTTTTTTCCCCTCTTTCTGTTTTTTTATGTCTGGAGGTTGCGTGTTGGCCCCCAGTAATGGAGTGGGATCTTCATTAAAGATTAATTGAAGAGAAAAGGCAAGATAGAAGCCAAAATACGGATGCACAATGGAAAAGCCTCCCTTTCTGAGTTTGCGAGTTCGCTTTCTGGCTTCATTGTCAATGAGTCCATGATGGAGAATGAGTTGAAGAGAGAAGATGATGTGCTGGATAGAGTCTGTCAGGATCTGTGCAAGCTAAAAATCCAAGCTTAATTAAATTGAAGGGCATTATTTTGATACACAATTTTATATTCTATATATACACAATTTTATATTTTAACCATACCTGTAACAGTGCACTCTATTTTATTTCTAAAGGGTTAACTTGCTTTTGCTTTGTAAAGAGCACTGGTTTCTTCTTCCCCCCCCTTATCTCTTTGCTGAATGCCCGATTGTCTTCGAATAAGCAGTTAGCCAAGTACAAGCTGTTTGTTGTACCAAGCTTTTGCAACAGTTGTGAGGCCCTGCATTCCAGAGAGAGATAAGAAGAATCTTGTATGCCATTCTCTTGGTAACCAGAAGAAAAAGTTACATTTACGTTTACCTTCCTAAGAACCACCT